TCGGCAGGAGCTGAAGCTAGAGACGGGAGCTCACTCCGTCATGCGGCACACTCGGGTCTCGAACTGCTGAACTACTGACCTTCCACAGCCTGCAGTTCAGCATCTTAACCACTTGAGACTATACCATCATTATAATGTTCCAACTGAGTTTGAACTAAAGCCGTGTAATGGTGCCCAGGTTTTGAAGTAACGAAAACCAGATGATGAGGCGATTGTGGCTAATCGCCATCTTCTAGTATGGAATTGAAAGAAGGTGCTGAAATCACTGTTTGTGAATTGCAATGTATTGCTGTTAGCATCACTGAAGAAGACATTCGAAATGGGAGAACAAGATACCCAGGATCCTCATGTGAGTCCTTGAATTCCTTTGCTTGAATTCTATTGCTATACGAAGGCCCCGGGCACACGGGCCGGCTGAAACGCGGCTACGCAGAGCCGCTCCAAACTTGAGACGCCACGGCGGGATCCCACGGATCCCCTAGCCGCGGCGCAGCACGCTCAGATGCCGGGGAGGAAAAGTCCGAGGGGAGGGGGGAGGCTGCCGAACTGCGCATGCTCGGGCATGCGCAGTACGGCTGGGGGCCGGGATGCGGCGGCGCAAGGACGCGCCGCCGATCCCACAGCCCTGCCTGCGCCGCACCAATGGATGCAACCACCTAGAGAGGTGGTTGTTTTTTGCGGCGCAGTTTGGGCCGTTGGGACGGATCAGGGACGGAGACGGCACGCTCGCCAGATGTTGAGGTGAGATCGCGCCTGTTTGCTCCGCCCCAGTTCCGTCCCGCTCCCGGCCCAAATGGGCTCGTATGAACGGGGCCTTAGACTTTCATTTTTGTTTGCATAACTTCGATATGGTGATAAAGGACATTGGTGGACTCCGGAAGTTGATAGATCACAGATTGAAAATTACATTACATCAGAATAATTTTAAAACATGGTTTATGCGTATTCGATTTCTTTAACAACTTTAGCGCCTGTTTGGTGTAGTGGTTTAGTGTGCGAACTCTAATCAGGGAGAACTGGGTTCGATCCCCCACTCCTCCACATGCAGCTGCTGGTGCGACCTTGGGTCAGTCACAAGTTCTCTCAGAGCTGTTCTCTCAAGGGCAGTTCTGGAAAGAGCTCTCTCAGTCCCACCTACCTCACAGGGTGTCTGTTGTGGGGAGGAGAAGCGAAAGGAGTTTGTAAGCCGCTCTGAGACTCCGAGTGAAGTGCCGGGTATAAATCCAATCTCTTCTTCTCTTCGTGTTACAGTGGTATCATTTTCCCTCTATGGTGGGCCACCTGGAGGTTGGCATCCATGCACGAGGCTCTTCCTGTCGCCAAAGGGCCTCCTCCCTTTGGTTTGCCTTTCTCTCGTCCACTTCCCGATAACATTATCAATGCCAAAGGCCGGATTTGAGAGGTTAATAAGTAACCAGGATAGCTTTGCCTTAAGCAAACGTGGATATCTCACACCAGCCTAGAGGATACTTAAACCTCACAGAAACCGCCCACTCCAATGACTGTCGCACCCTCGGCTTTTCCAAAGAGCCCCAGAGGAATGCATCGCACAGCTGATTTATGGCAGCCCCAGGCAAGTTTATCAAGAACAGCCCTGGAATGAGCGATGCCACCCTCCAGGTGGGACCTGGGGATCCCCCAGAATTCCAGCTCATCTCCAGGCTACAGAGATCAGTTCCCCTGGAGAAAATGGGACGCTTTGGAGGGCGGGCTCTGTGGCATTGCACCCCACTGAGGTCCCTGTCCTCCCCAGGCTCCACCCCCAAATCTCCAGGAGTTTCCCAACCTGGATCTGGCAACCATACCCGCTCCATGCCCTGTTGGTGTCTAGGAGACATCTGGCAACCCTACCTGGAATGGAGGCAAAAATGAAATTGGACCTCCGTAGGACTCAGCTGGAATCATGGGGTTTATAGTTGCCAACTCTCGGTTGGGGAATTTATGGAGATTTGGGGTGTGGAGTCTGGAGAGGGCGGGGTTTTGGAGAGGGGAGGGACCTCCTCAGAGTCTAATGCCGTAGAGTCCCTCCTCGAAAGCAGCCATTTTCCTCAGGGGAAATGTGTACAGTTCTGGCACTAAGCTTCTTAATCCCAGAGCCAGGCGGCTACCTCAGGGGAAGGCCTCGGCCTCTCTGCCCTGTAGTTGGCCGTCCAGAGGAACTGGCTGGCCACCATGTGAGGCAGGATGCTGGACTAGATGGACCATTGGTCTGATCCAGCAGGGCTCTCCTCATGTTCTTATGAAGGCCTTGTCCTCTATGCCCTGTTGTTGGGCCTCCAGAGGGACTTGTTGGCCACCGTATGAGACAGGATGCTGGGCGAGATGGACCCTCACTGGTCTGACCCAGCAGGGCTCTTCTGATGTTCTTCTCTGCCCTGTTGTTGGCCCTCCAGGGGAACTGGTTGGCCACTGTGTGAGGCAGGATGCTGGACTAGATGGACCCTCATTGGTCTGATCCAGCAGAGCTCGTCTTAGGTTCTTCTCAGGGGAAGGCCTCGGCCTCTCTGCCCTGTTGTTGGCCCTCAGAGGAACTGGTTGGCCATTGTGTGAGACGGGATGCTGGACTAGATGGACCCTCACTGGTCTGATCCAGCAGAGCTCCTCTTAGGTTCTTCTCAGGGGAAGGCCACAGTCTCTCTGCCCTGCTGTTGGCCCTCCAGAGGAACTGGCTGGCCACTGGGTGAGACGGGATGCCGGACTAGATGGACCCTCCCTCACTGGTCTGATCCGGCAGGGCTCTTCTGAGGTCCTTCTCAGGGGAAGGCCTCGGCCTCTCTGCCCTGTTGTTGGCTCTCAGAGGAACTGGTTGAGACCCCTGTGTGAGACAGGAGGCTGGACTAGATGGACACTCACTGGTCTGATCCAGCAGGGCTCTTCTTAGGTTCTTAGGCTTGTTAATTGTGGCTTGGAAAAGTCCTGGAGATTTGGAACCTTGGGAAGGTAAAGACCTCAGCAGGGCATGATGCCATATAGACCTCCATCCAAAGCAGCCATTTTCTCCAAGGGAACTGATCTGTGCTGTCTGGAGATCGGATGTACTTCTAGAGGATCTCCAAACCCAACTTGGAGGCTGGCAATCCTAGGAGAAAGTTTATTTATTCAATCAATCAATCTCAGAGTTGGAAGGAAGGAATCCTTAGTCCAACTCCATGCTCGTGCATAGGGTTGCCAGGGGGGTAGGGTTACAGGATCCAGGTTGGGAAACTCCTGGAGATTTGGGGGTGGAGCCTGGGGAGGACAGGGACCTCAGTGGGGTACAATGCCATAAGAGTCCACCCTCCAAAACACCCGTTTTTCTCCAGGGGAACTGATCTCTGTAGCCTGGAGATGAGCTGGAATTCTGGGGGGTCCCCAGGTCCCACCTGGAGGCTGGCATCCCGACACAGTGCAGCAACTACAGTGGTACTATTCCCGACAAGTAGGTATGCTCCACAACCTCTGCACAACCACTTCCAGGTCTGAGTCTGGGTCCGGGTTCAAGGTGTGACACTATGAGCACTTTCACACATACTAAATAACTCACTTTCAATCCCCTTTCAATGCAACCGCCGAAATATTTTTTATCATTTGACAATAAAGGTGAAGGTTCCCTTGCTCGGAAGCCAGTCGAATCCAACTCTAGGGTTGCGGTGCTCATCTTCGTTTCCAAGCTGAAGAGCCAGCGCTGTCCGAAGACGTTTCCGTGGTCGTGTGGCCGGCATGACTAAACACCAAGGCACACGGAACGCTGTCCCCTTCCCACCGAAGTGGTACCTATTGATCTACTTACAATTTCTTGCTTTCGAACGGCTAGGTTGGCAGGAGCTGGAACTAGAGACGGGAGCTCACTCCATCATGCGGCACCCGGGTCTCAAACTGCTGAACTACCGACCTTCCACAGCCTGCAGTTCAGTGTCTTAACCACTTGAGCCACCGCAGCTCCTCATTTGACAATACCAATGCTCAAAAGAGCTTTCACTCTGGTAAGAATGAATGTCCTTTCACTGGCGGTTTGTTTTGAAGGGTAGATGTAAAAAAGTGCTATATTAAAACTGAACATGTAGATGCTCACATGATAAAACTGAAACAATTGAACATAGAGTTATGGAATGTCCTATATTTAATGAGCTGGGGACTAGACTGATAACTCCTTTCCTTAGAAAGAAGGAAATGCCCACTAAGGGATCTGATAGTATGAGGGCACAGGTGACTATCGGATATAAATGATTTTGTTACTCTCCCCGTGGCAAAATTTATGGGGGCGATAATTAAACAACAGGAGAACAACACAGCCAGTTTGGTGTCGTGGTTAAGTGCGCGGACTCTAATCTGGAAGAACCGGGTTTGATTGCCCACTCCTCCACTTGCAGCTGCTGGATGACCTTGGGCAAGCCATAGTTCTGATAAGAGCTGTTCTTGAAAAAGAGCAGTTTCTGTCAGAGCTCTCTCAGCCCCACGTACCTCACAGGGTGTCTGTTGTGGGGAGGGGAAGGGAAAGGAGATTGTAAGCCACTCTGAGACTCCTTTGGGTAGTGAAGGGCAGGGTATAAACCCAATCTCTTCTCTTCTTCACTAAATAGGGCATTATCTTATTTTATAATTTTATTTTTTGCTCAAGGTTACGAGCAGTACTCGATGGACAGATGTAGAATCCACTTTCAATGCACTTTGCAACCGGACTGTGCTGTGTGAAATGGCAAAGTCCACTTGCAAACGGTCGCTGAAGTGGATTGAAATGGCGCTATTTAGCCGGCGTGAAAGCGCTTTATGGTTTTCGTTAATGCAAATGGTCCCCGAACGCATGATACAGGAATACCTATGAAAGACGTATGATGGCTACAGAAGCTGTAACCAGGCCAACCCAGGGCCCAAATTAAAAAAGGTACCGGGAGAAAGAGTTTTTCACTTCACGCCACATTTTGAAACGTCCGTTTTCCCTTCCAACCCCAAAAAATAACACACAAACACACAGAAGTTTTCTTTTTTTAAAAAAGCCCTCCATTCCAAAAAATGCTTTATTCCATAGCCCAAGCAGAGGATACAGTATAGCATAACGGCAAGCTGATGCTTTGGTTTCTGGCAGTTATGGGAAGGCTGATTTGGAGGCTCAGACATTTCGGACGGGGAGGGGGTAAGGATCGGGGTGGTGGGGTTTTGCGGTTCTCCCGCACCTGACCGTGGTTACGTCTGAGACATTAAGGGGACACTTTTAAGCGGACTTGGGTTAGCTCTGGAGGGACAGGTCGGTTCTCTGGGGGTTAATGGGCATGGCCTCAGAGGCCTGACGATGCCATACTGTGAGGAACCAGTGCTCCGGTGCAGGAAGATCTGCCTCCCGCCTTCTCAGTATTTCTTCCCCGTCGGCTTCATTTTCTTCACGTAATATTCGTTGCAGCCGTTGGTCAGGCCGGCAAAGAGGGAGAGGTACCCCTCGAAGGTGATCTTCCCGTCCCGGCCTTCCTCCAGGTTCTTCATGATCCTGTCAATGGCCATCGGGTCTTTCTGGTTCTGAAAACGAAAACAGAAATGGGGTGGGGGAAGAGAAGGGGGTTTGGTTGAAATCAGGGGTCCCCGACCTTGTTGAAACCTGCGAGCAGCTTTGAAATTCTGGCACAGGGTGGTGGTGGGGGCACAGGCACAACACGGCCGCCACAAAATGGCTGCCGCGGGGGGGGGCAGAGCCAGCCACAAAATGGCCGCCGCAGCTTACGTTCAGTCACACAGTGAAGATTCCCTGGGCTGTGGTGGCCGCGGTTACCAAAGTTACCATACAGGACACAGGAACAAACATCGGCTATGGATGGAACGGAAGTGGTCCAGTGGGGTCTGATACACAAGACCTGGGTTCAAATCCCCGACTCGGACATGAAGCTCATAGGGTGGCCTCAGACCAGGCACACTCCCTCAGCTTAACCTACCCTCACAGGGCTGTTCTGAAGATTAAAAAAATGAGGAAAGGCACTCCTTAGAGGTAAAGGTTCCCCTTGCTTGAAAGCCAGTCGAATCCGACTCTAGGGTTGCAGTGCTCATCTCCGTTTCCAAGCCAAAGAACCAGCGCTGTCCGAAGACGTTTCCGTGGTCATGTGGCCAGCATGACTCGGGGCCGAGGCGCACGGAACGCTGTTCCCTTCCCACCGAAGCGGTACCTATTTATCTACTTGCAATTTCTTGCTTTCGAACTGCTAGGTTGGCAGGAGCTGGAACTAGAGACGGGAGCTCACTCCGTCATGCGACATTTGGGTCTCGAACTGCTGAACTACTGACCTTCCGGTCTGCAGTTCAGCGTCTTAACCACTTGAGCCACCGCAGCCCCCATAGAGGAAAAGGTGGGGTGAAAATGTAGTAGATAGACAAACACGCACCCCTGCAGTGTTTGCAAAACCTCTGCTCTCCCCCCACACCCCACTAGGGCTTTGCATTCGTCAAGATTCCGTAACGTCCACTCACTTCCATATATCCCGGAACTTCCTTCTCCATCAGGTGCCGAAGGTCTTCCTTCGTTAGATAGTTCTTGTCACCGGCAAATTTATGAAAAGTGAACATGACTGTTTCCATGGCGTGTTCCAGCTGAGAGGGCATCTTTGCGATGATCTGGGGCAGAGAGAGAGAGAGAGAGAGAAAGAGAGAGAGAGATCCACTGTTAAACTTGATGGACAGCAAACATCAGGAAAAGGTCTCAGCCTCTCTGCCCTGTTGCTGGCCCTCCAGAGGAACTGGCTGGCCACTGGGTGAGACAGGATGCTGGACTGGATGGACCGCTGGTCTGATTGGACTGTTCTTACAGGGAACTTCCACATTCAGAGGAACTAAACCTTTGAATCCCAGAGCCAGGAGGCAACATCAGGGGAAGACCTTGGCCTCTCTGCCCTGTTGTTGGCCCTCCAGAGGAACTGGTTGGCCACTGGGTGAGACAGGATGCTGGACTAGGTGGACCTTCACTGGTCTGATCCAGCAGGGCTCTTCTGATGTTTTTATAGGGAACCTCTACATTCGGAGGCACTAATCTTCTGAATCCCAGAGCCAGGAGGCAACATTAAGGGAAGGCTTCAGCCTCTCTGCCCTGTTGTTGGCCCTCCAGAGGAACTGGCTGGCCCCTGTGTAAGACAAGATGCTGGACTGGATTAACCATTGGTCTGATCCAGCGGGGCTTTTCTTACATTCTTAATGGCTGCAGGGAAACCAGGCCAGCCAACCAACTCTTCACCATTGCACAGAGGCCAAATCCCCTTCCCCCTGTGAAAAATTCTGCATGTCAGTTAGGAGTTCCATTAGATGATCCCCATTCGAGGCTTCAATGCTCAAACGCAAATCTGATGTTAAATGCATAGTTACTGCTCCAGTGTGATACCCAACCTGTGCTCAAAACACTTCTAAAAGGAAGTCCTTCTTCACCCAAAGAGTGATTAACGCGTGGAATTCACTGCCACAGGAGGTGGTGGTGGAGGCTACAAGCACGGACGGCTTCAAGAAGGAATTGGATAAACATATGGAGCAGAGGTCCCTCAGTTACTATTAGCCACATGGTACAGATACGAACTCTCAGGCTGGGGCAAGGGATGCTCTGTATTCTTGGTGCTTGGGGGGGGGGGGTCAATAGTGGGAGGGCTCCCAGTGTCCTGGCCCCACTGCCAGACCGCCTGATGGCACCTGGTACTTTTGGCCACTGAGTGACAGAATGTTGAACTAGATGGGCCATTGGCGCAATCCAACATTGGCTTCTCTTATGTCCTTACTTGTCTCCAACAAATGAACCCCCAACAAACTTGTTTCTTTACGGAAGATATTTTCCACCGTGCCAAAGCATGCCATGGATGGTAAATAAGAAGTAAAGACGAATTTACAAAAGAACTTTGTAAAGATTGCAATATTATCCCCGTTGCTAGTTTTGCGTTGGTGATGCCAGTTTGGTGTAGTGATTAGGAGTGCGGACTCTAATCTGGGAGAACTGGGTTTGATTCCCCACTCCTCCACATGCAGCTGCTGGTGTGACCTTGGGTCAGTCACAAGTTCTCTCAGAGCTGCTCTGTCAAGGGCAGTCCTCAAAAGAGACCAACTCTGTGATTCTAGGATTCTATGACTACAGCACACTGGCTTGGAAAGAGATGGGACCCCCCCCCCCTTCTCAAGCCTTCAAAATCATCCCAGAGAGCCAGTTTGGTGTAGAGGTTAGGAGCGCGGGCTCTAATGTGGGAGAGCCGGGTATGATTCCCCACGCCTCCACATGCAGCTGCTGGGGTGACCGTGGGTCAGTCACAAGTTCTTTCAGAGCTGTTCTCTCAAGGGCAGTTCTGAAAAGAGCTCTCTCAGCCTCACCTACCTCACAGGGTGTCTGTTGTGGGGAAGAGAAAGGAGATTGTAAGCTGCTCTGAGACTCTGAGTGAAGGGCGGGGTATAAATCCAACTCTTGTTCTTTAAAGGCCAAGTTTCACGCAGTTGAATAGCAAATACTTTTTTTTTCTTGGCAAGCAGCATTTTAAAAAAACCCATCCATCCAACCAAAATCACAATAAAACCTCTGAAAACAAAGCCTCGGGGGTCACACCTTGGAATCCAAACCTCTGCTGGGAACGATCTAATAGCCTAACCCCAATTAGCACAAAAACCGCAAGGGCAATTTAGAGATTAAGCCGTTCCTCGAAAGAGCAAGCAGATCCTGTGGATCCGTTCTGCTAGCGGGAGAACTTTGCCCCAGCGTGAGGCACTTCGCCCTCTCCCAAGAGCCTCTTGCACCAACGAAGGCTCCCTACTCCAGAGGAGAACGTCATCATTCATGGACCAGATCCACCCTGATAAAATTCGGTGGTGGAAAGTGTCGGCAAGTTGCGACTGATTTATGGCAACCCCACAGATGTTTCAAGAGGTGGTTTGCCATTGCCTGCCTCTGCCTAGCAACTAGAGATGTAAAATTTCTGGAAATTTTGAAGCTCGGAAAAAACCCCAGTTTTTTTCTGAAATTTTCGGAAAAATTGAAAAAAATGCTACATTAGCACTTCTTTTTGCTTTTCTGGATTGAAAGTCATTCTGTTACTTTAGGAACATAAAATACGACTATGGACAATTTTACTTGGCATGAAATTATCACAACTAGCATATTAAAAATATAGTGTATCCAAACAGTTATTACAAACAGAATTTACTTTTTAAATAATATTTATTTGTAATTACTAGTTTATGTGGAATAGACAAAAAAACCTCCACAAAACAATTTTTAAAAATCCAGAAGTAACAATTATTCATATTTCCTCTCCACAGTATTACATAATAAAAAAACCCATTCTCATAAAAAGAACTGAAGAGGGGAAGTGTATAGAAGGGAGTGTGGGACTAAGTTTCAATGAATGGGCATGAAATTTAATCAGAATCATTTTCTGAGCTGTAATTATCAGTATCAGCCTCTGCTTCTGCAGCTACTCTGTTGTGTCTGTCATTATCCATTGGAGAGTTCAGTTTGTAACCTAGGACTTGCTTGTCCTCAGTGCAAAGACATTAAGATTAATCTGAGACCATAGATATTTTTTAGAAATGATTTGGAAAATATTTGAACACCTTGTCTTAAAATATTTTATTCATCATGTTAAAATAAAACGTTCCATAATCAATGTTTTTTTGTTTTCTTTTTTTCAATTTTCCCAATTTTTTGGAAAAAAACAAAAAAGCCTTCAGGAAAAAAAAATGGAAAAAACCCTGTTTTTTCCCTGGGTCTTCACATCTCTAGTAGCAACCCTGGACTCCCTTGGTGGTCTCCCATCCAAATACTAACCCGGGCCGACTCTGCTTAGGTTCTCAGATCTGATGAGGTTTGGGCTAGCCTAGGCTATCCAGGCCAGGACAAGAGATAGGCAGAGGCGGTTTGCCCTTGCCTGCCTCTGCGTAGCAACCCTGGACTTCCTTGGTGGTCTCCCATCCAAATACTAACCCGGGCCGACACTGCTTAGCTTCTCAGATCTGACACGATCGGGCTAGCTTCGGCCATCTAGGCCAGGCCCCAAGTAAATTAGCACTGACCCAAAATAAAAGACTTTTTGTGCCATGGAACAGGAGCGAGGTCAGCCTGCCATCGCCCGAAAACGAAGGCTTCGGCTTTCCATCGGCCAAGTGACCCCCATAGCGCCGTCCCTGCAAAGTGACTTCTGAACGTACGCAGAGCGCCTTTCTTCTTATCACTCCGCAGCCGCCTTTGACCTCTCGGAAAATTCCCTTCTCAAGACCAGAGGTGGCACAGCCAAAAACTGCGTCAACTCCGTCTCCCTCCTCCTTTGCACATTCTTTCCAGCCCTCCCTCCAGCCTCAGCCGCTGCTGGCGCAGGGTCTTTGATCAGCAGTCCTGACAGCTGCCAGGAACATCTGCAGGCCGGACAGACCATCTGGTTCCTATCTGGAGACGGCACTGCCTAAGGCAGAGAGGCGTTGGCCGCACTCCCAGGGCAGCGTTCCTGGCCTTGCTCCATCTCCCAAGCCAAGCCCCTTTGGAAACTCTTAACCCTTAGCTGGCCCAGGGAATCTCTCTTGCAAACCTCACAGCTGGAGAGGAGGAGGAAATTGGATTTATACCCCGCCATTCACTACTCGAAGGAGCCTCAGAGCGGCTTACAATCTCCTTTCCCTTCCCCTCCCCACAACAGACGCCCCTGTGAGGTAGGTGGGGCTGAGAGAGCTCTTTCAAGAACTGCCCTTGAGAGAACAGCTCCGAGATAACTTGTGACTGACCCAAGGTCACTCCAGCAGCTGCATGTGGGGGAGTGGAGAAGGAGAGGAGAAGGAGATTGGATTTATACCCCGCCCTTCACTCCCCCCCCCGTTTTCAACCCCTTCGTTGCGCTTCTGAATCGCTGTGCTGTGGTGTTTAAAATGCCCACGGCGCTCCCTACAACGCCACTTCCCCCTCTCCCTTTTTCACCATGTGATCTTTCGTGGCCTTTAAAAAATGTTCTGAAATGAGTGCTTGATATAGCGCTGAAGCGCTATGGCAGTTTAGCGCTATAGCGCTCACCTCAGAATGTTCCAAAAAAGGGTCTGAGGAAGATCGTGAGGTGAAAAAGGGCATGTGTGTGAGGGAAACGACACTTCTTGAAATGACCATAGCGCTTCAGAGATGGTTCGTTAACGGAAGGAAATTCGCTGTATGAAACCCCCCCATCCCTGTACCGCTTTACTCGAAATCGAGCCAACAACGAATAACATCCGGTTTAGAACAGTTACGTGAAAAGGGTCTATGATTCAATTCAGGGGACAGAAATTCGCCTTTGCGCCATATTCATGAGCCCATAAAAGCTGCCCTTTTAACCACACGGTGGGTATTTCCAAGGACTCGGTTCAGCCAGGCAGTTTAGTCAAATAGCTTGAGAGCCATTTCAACCACAAGGGATGCTGCAGTAGATAAAGAAAGGGAAGGACACCCCCCTTCACACACATTTCTGAGCCTGCAGGCACCTTTGGTTTTTAGAGCAAGTTCATGGAGGATAACAGATTTGCCATGAGGTGCAAGAACTAAATGGAACCCCCATGTGTGGGAGCAGTATACCACTGAAAATCAAGTGAAGAGAAGAAGAGATTGGATTTCTACCCCACCCTTCGCTACCCGAAGGGGTCTC